ATATATATATATATATTCTCGAAAAAGAATTCCATGCTCGTTTCATCTCGCGACGAATGCTCGCGTGATCGGTAGTGTCCACGTGTTGGGAGTGCTTGCTTCTGAGGTAGTGTTGTAATTCGTTTCTTTGCTTGTTAAAGGCCTGTTAGGCATACATCCTCCAACAATGATAATGATGCTGCGTGTGAGCGACTACTCGGTGAATCCTGAAGCACCTAACGGGATAAAATATAAAATATATATAAAAAAAAAAATACATACATATATATATTTATAAATCTATCCTTCTGTCCAACTCTCTAATAGCCATTTTCTAATACGTCATATCCCGGTGCATTTTGCGAGAAATGCTTGTGAATATATATGCTTGTTGGCATTCCATCGTTGGGTGTGTCGTCATTCGATGATTAGAGAGGGAAGAAGAGGGGGCGGGTAAAGAGACGAGGAAAAAGAAAAAATGCTCGGGGAGCAGCGGGGGTTGTAAGCGAGTTAGTTTCGTAGAATATCGTGCGCATCCACCATCTCGTTCATCGATCAGCACACACACACACACACACACACATACTCTCTCTCTCTTTCTCTCGTCTCCTCGTAAGCATCCTTCAATGTACCTGAGGGCTGTCAGCCAGTGGGAATAGTCGACCAGTCCGGCGGCAGGGTCTCTCAGGCTGAGTCCCTCGCGGCCGACGCCGGGGCCCAAATCAAAACGCACTCCAGCCACGGTTGTTTCAACCTCGGCCTCGGGACCCCTGCTAGGTATCGTGACAACAGAAAACACCGTCTAACTCTCTACACTCGGCTCTCTGCTGCTGGCCTCTCCGTCGTGTATGCGTCTCTTACGTTTGTATGTCTGTCCCTTACGTTTTTTTCTATTCGCGCGTGTGTACACGTTTGTTTCGTATGCGTTTTGCCTTCCTATACGTGTGCAGATTATCGTATCTGTTCGCATCTGTTTGTAGGTGTGTCGGGGAGGGGGTGTGTACAACTCTCTCGCGGTCAGCGGAGGCGAAGCTGTGTATGTAAACGTGACTCTAACGTTAGGGAACGATCTCGCGTGGAGCATGTACGGTTCGGTTGATCCTCGCGTGATCCGAGTCCTCTGCCTCCATTTCTTATTTCTTTCTCGGCCCTTGATTTTAATCGACCTGATGCATCGGCAGATGCGGTGATTAATTTTGAATCATTGGACCCGTACGATTTTTTGGTTATTTTTGTCCTTTTTTTTTTTCTTTTTTAACATCGAATTCGAGCGTTGAGGGGTACAGCGAAGGGTGCGTTAAGCATGGATCACGTGGATCGTTTTTTTTAATCATCGATGATTAAAAATTTTCAATGGAGGATCATCGGTCCGTTTAGAAGGGATAGAAGAGATTTCGATCGTGAAGTTATTCACGAAACAATCACAAGATAATATAAATTATATTATATATATTTGTATATGCTCCCTGCGAAGATGACGTTCAAATTCTATTGCATAATTTGTTGTTACGGAGCATTCTACTACTCTTGCTTCTTCTCTAGACAATATGTAGCAACAGCCTCGCAAGATATTTCGTGTATCTCGTGCTAATCGGGCAAACAGCATAGATCAACTCGCTACTTGCTTTTTCCTAAAAATCATCTTCGAGAAATGCTGTTTACGTCGCCTCGAACGAGAAGCAAGCGATAAAAAAAGGAAAGAAAGAAAGAAAGAAAGAAAGGAATAACTACGCGACACTACTCAGCAGACCAATCACAGAGATTTATCATACATATTAATCCCTTCCTTTTTCTTTTTTTTTTTCTCTTTTCTCTTTAATTCAATCTCGACGAATTCTTCGTTCTTCACGTTTTCGTCGTTTGAGAATAGAAGAATTATTATTATTATTATCATCATCATTATTATTCATCGTTTATTTTTAAGATAATAAAAATGATCCATCCATGGATCTTGGAAAATAATTCGAGGCTGATTCAGAGTTCTATTTCAGACGAAGGACGGTCATTCCTACGTTTTGCTATGTGAAACGTTGTGACACATTCGTTTCGCAAGCCCCTCCATCGGTGAACGTAATCCGTTACGTTCTAAGCACTTTCGTTCTTTCGATATTTGCTATTTCTCTCTCTCTCTCTCTCTCTCTCTATCTCTCTATCTCTCTCTCCTCTATTTTTTAATCGGTAATATTTCACTTTGTGTCATGATTTGATTAATCGTGTACGTTATCGGAATGTAGATATTTATTTACGTGAATAATTAATGATGGTTGAAAGTATCGAGAGAAGAGCTTAATTCCATGAGTTTTTAAATTTCGATGTGATTATAATCTTTTATAATAACGTTGATTAAAAAATGTATTGAAATATTAGACTGTGGTAATTTTTAAAAATTAAACCGATTAAATTAATGACGAAATTTGAATTTCCCTCGTGCATCGAGAAAAATTTAAAGAATTATACAATAAAGAACATTTATTTCATCGATAGGAAAATATACTGCATACGTTAAGTAATCTAGGAATATATTGTCGTACGTAAGCTAGGAGGCTTGAGAAATGGAGGACGAGCAAAGTAACGCGAGAAGAATATTAAAATTTTTAATGAAATCAAGCTTCGTTTCAGGATATATATAAAGAATTATTTTTCGAAAAATTGATGAATCGGTCTGGTTTTTTTTATTTCATGGAATTTTGAATTTCATTTCTCGATGATGAATTTATTTATTATTAACTTTTGTCACATAATCTATTCAATCATATTTACGATGTTGTTATTATAATTACTTTCTTGCATCGTTTTTTTACGCCATTAATATTTTCGAATTCAACGACAACGACGTTCTTTCTTTGATCTGTATTCAACTCGACGAATCGGTCGTTTTAGCAACTATGCAAAACGAGGAATGAATTAAACATACATTTCGGTATCTAGAAAGGCCTTAAATATATTCCAATAGCAATATTTCTTCAAGTTTCATGTATTTTTATTGCATCGATTGTTGCGCGATGAAGAAGAATTATTGTGTTACAAAGGAAAAATAATACAAGTATACAAAAACGTAATTCGAAGAAATTCTGGAAAAAAAAATAAAAAATAAAGAAATAAAAGATTCGTATCAAAATGAATTTATAATGAATTAATCGAAAATCGGTATTTTTAATTCAAAACTCGAAAGAAAAATGTATTTTTTCACGAATCAATCGATGCTTCCTTTTTTTAAAATAAATTCCGATAATTTTCCTCTCTCCAAAAATTTATCCTTAGATTTCATCTAATCTGGCAAACTTTGGAAAGTAAGCTCTTCCACGATCACGATTCGATTCGAAATAATATCAAGAGATCAAAAAGAAACGAGATACATCGCGATACATATATTTGTAATTTCGTTTCTCGGTGTTCTGGTTGATATTGTCTTATTTTCTTGCTAAAAAAAAAAAAAGAAAAAAAAAAAAAGAAAAAA